CACAGCCTCCAACCCCCGTGCGCTGGGGAGGATTTCGGGCTGGCCCGGTGGAGGGTGGTCTGCCTGCACCACCCCAAAACACCCTGCTACCACGCCGCTACCACGCTGCTACCCCGCCGCTACCACCACGCTACCATCACGCTACCAAAACAACCCCTTTGGTGCCTCCAACTTCAACCACAAACGCTAAACTTTTACGCTTAGGTACCGTCTAACTCCTGTCGTCGTCTGCCAATACAACTCTAGGTCCGTCCGCTCGCAGCAGCGCTGGATGTTGAGACTTCCCCGTGCTACCACCCTCTTCGCAGCACCACCATTCTATAACACGAGCACCGCAACCTTCGCCACGACTACCCCCATGCAAACTCCCCGATCCCCGCAGCCGTCAAGCGGAATCGACTATCCACCCAAAAAGGCAAACGGAATGCCCCAAGAGACTTGCCGGCCGGCCGGCCGCGCGGAACCGACTGTGCAGTTATCAAGCCCACTTTCAAAAAATAAAAAAAGAGACGAAGCAAAAAAAAAGTTTAATTCGTCGCTTTTCGCGACATGACTTTTCCAACTGTGTACTCCGCAAAAAAAATGATTTCACGCGCAGGGAGCAAGCGCGCGAGTGTGCTCGGCTGGGTGTCCCTGACTTGTCGCGTGCTCCGGGGAGGGGGAGGGGGGGGGAGGGGGTGCAGCCGTCACACTGGAAACGGCTAGACGCCTTTTCCTTCTTCCTGCGACGATGATCGACTGATGCGATGCTATCAGTTGCCAGACCGCACACTCGCATCAACACACACACACACACGCAGAGAGAGAGAGAGAGAGAGAGAGAGAGAGAGAGAGACCCAGGTAAAAATGGGTTTTATAAAGTTGTACGGAAAATTTTATAAACAGATATAAACTTTTATAAAGGCCTTTATAAAGTTTTGTATAATATATACATGCTATTTTATACACCTATATGAGGACATATAAAACCCTTTATAAAGGTTTACAAAAGTCGCTTTATATTGTTGTATATATAGTTGTTTATATACTTGTATATAGACCTATGAAGAGGAGCTTTTGGCCAGAAATGATATAAAGACTCATTGGTATATATAAGCTTGTATAAAGCTCCCTTTATAAAAACCGTGCAGTTGTATAAAGCTCCCTTTATAAAACGCCGTGCAGTTGTATAAAGGCCCTTATAAAGCCTTATACACGAGCCACTATAAAACTTTATAAACCTGGATAAAAAATCCCTATAAATTCATATAAAAACTTATAAAGGCCTTTATAAAACCCATTTTTACCTGGGAGGCCTTTCTCAACGCTCTGGTATTCTTAAGACTCTACTCTTTCATACCCCGCCTTTGACCGCAGCGATTTTGAGACCAGTGACGTCACAAAGTTGATCAAAAATGGATTGAATCTCGAAGTGTACACACACACACACACTCACCTACACACACACTCACACACACACACACACACCTACACACACACACACACCATCGAAGAGTTGGCACCGAGGCTGACCCAGGCAGATTGTAGGCCGCCGGTGTAATGCCTCCAATAATACAAAACGTGCAAGGGCCTGCTGTCCGATAGGAGAGAGGGTCTGGGCGGAGAGCTGCTGGTGCTTAAAGTTTGGGCCCTTTGGCCACCCCCCGGCCCCGGGCCGCCCTCGGCATCTTCAGACACAAATTGATGAAGATTTTCCAGCCGTGCTCGCTCTCCCAGGCCCGCCCCGGACCGCCCCTCCGCCTATGTATTTCCATGCAGCCACCCCCTAGCGCCTCTCGGCACCGACGGCACCGGCAAAACCGCGCTGTGTTCTGTCTGAGGGTGAACAGTGGGCCAGAAGACCGGCGGAGGCGGCCGAAACCCCGACCGCGCTTTGAGCTCCAGAGTCGCTAAATGGCACTCGAATCGAACGGTGACCCCACCAATGGATTGCTCGTTCGAAGAGCAGTCCATTGGTGGGGTCACACGTTCGGTTCGAGTCCTACTTAGCGACTCTGGAGCTCAAAACGCGTCCGGGGTTTCGGCCGCCGCCGCTGGTCTTCTGGCCCACTGTGGGGTGGGGGATTGGCGCGGGGTGCTCCGTGGCATCTTCTAGTCCGGCCGCGAGGAGTGGCTGTGCTAGGGAGCTAGAACAACAAGTAGGCCCGTCGCCTGTTGTACCGAGCGGCTTGGACTGCCATCCTAGACCAACATGACGGCTTTCGGTTCTCCAATGCACTTTTAAAATAATTTTTAAAAAATTTCAAAGATTTTTTTGTGCAGAAGAGCGACACTGAATCAACCCCATCATCGCTGCAGTGTGCGGAATCATAGAGGCCTCTCTGCAAACCGAACGGCAGTTGTTGTCTCTAGCTGCTCTCAAAGCGAGAGAGAGAGAGAGAGAGAGAGAGAGAGAGAGAGAGAGAGAGAGAGAGAGAGAGAGACGGAGAGAGAGAGCACCTGCACCGCGCCGTCGCTGCGTCCTTTGAGCGGCCAAACGAGTGAGTGCGCGCGCCTTTTGTGCTGTTTGAATACGGGAGCGAGCGAGACGGGGCGCGCGGAGCGAGGCCCGGCAACTATCGCAGCTATCGCTCACATCGCTCATCTATCAAAGCTTGTAGTCGCAGCGAGTTCAGTGGCCACGGCGAACTCGAAGCGAGAGGGTCAGCCACCCCCTCCCTCCCCCAACCTCCCCCCCAACCTCCCCCAAGGGCCGGCCAGACTGCACAGCCTTTTCGCTCGCTCTCTCTCTCTCTCTCTCTCTCTCTCTCTCTCTCTCTGTCTGCGGCGCGCTCACTCTCAGAGCGACGTGAATATCGGGGGATGATAGGAACGGAGGGGAGGCGGAGGGAGTGAGCTTGGCTGGACCGGAGAGGGGGAGGGGGAGAGAGGGGTGCAAGTGTGTACGTTCTGTCGGGCCCGTCGGGCCGGCACCGCTACAGGGGGAGGGGAGAAAATGAACAAGGGGAAGGGGTGAGGAGGACGGACGGACGGCGAGCGGACAGACAGACAGGCAGACAGACAGAGGGCGAGGAGCGCGGCAGCAACAGCATAGGGGGAAAGGCAGGCGGCGACGCAGCGCTGGGGGTGCTTGGGGTGCTTGGCGTGCTGGGGGTGTTGTGACGGCGGGGGTGAGGAGAGGAGGAGTGTAGCCGGCTGGCTGGCTCGGTACACTCGCGTCTCGAAAAGTTTGTTCCGGGCCGCGGCCCCATCTCGGGATTTTAGGCCCGAAGCGTTCGTTTCGTTCGTAAGTCTTCGTTGTTGGCGGCTTGGGGTTGTTGGGGTTGTTCTCGGCGGCCTGCACGCTCGGTGTCCGCCGCGCGACGCGTAATCCCCCCGCCTTTGTGTGCGTGCGTCTTGCAGTGTGGTGGCACCAGAAGCACCTTCTCCTTCAAGACCACCGCACCCCGGTCGGCGGCACCGCGAGGTGAATAGAGCAAGGGTGGTTGGCATGCGGGCAGGTGGCTGCGGGGCCGTCCTTAAGCACGCGGACGGACGGACAGACAGACAGGCAGACAAACTGGAATCAGACACGCAGTGATGGACTCCTCGAGCGAAGAGCAGAGCCAGAGGTACTCAGCATGTTCACTTGGAGTCCTGACTGGAATAGCGCGGAGAGCGTCCTGTCTGCCTGTCCAGGACGGCCGCCGTTCCCCCAGTCCGTGCGGGGTGTGGGTGAGTAAGCCGTTCTCCTAGCCACCTCGTCACCCCTCGCCAGCGGAGACCGGTTCGCAGCGGGTACCGCCCGGTAGGCGCACTCTGGCGCACTCGTGCCGCCCCGCCCCGCGGCGTGCCACCGCGCCCCACCCCTCGCCGGAGTCTGCCGCGTCGGGCCACAGTGGGCCAGAAGACCGGTGGAGGCGGCCAAAACTCCGGACGCGTTTCGAGCTCCAGAGTCGCTAAACGGGACTCGAACCGAACGTGTGACCCCACCAATGGATTGCTCGTTCGAAGAGCAATCCATTGGTGGGGTCACACGTTCGGTTCGAGTCCCATTTAGCGACTCTGGAGCTCGAAACGCGTCCGGAGTTTTGGCCGCCTCCACCGGTCTTCTGGCCCACTGTGCGGGCTGCCTTTGTCCGGGGCGCTGCGCTGGCTCCGCTCCGCGAGGCGACGCGACGCCAAGGGTGGGTGGGGCGGTTCCCCGCCAAAGTACCTGTGGATGGCCCCTAGGCCCACCCCACGGCCGAATACTCAGACGGGGCACAGCCGCGCAGCGCGCACGGCCCGCCAATTTGTCATTGGTTGATAAGCCGCCGGCCCAAAGTACCGGCGGCGGCGCGGCGGTCGACACCCCTGCGCTTCGAAACACAACTACTGCCCTCCCGAGTGAGCAATTTGTCATACAACGACCTAACACGGCCGGCGTGCCCGCTGTCTGGGCAGGCTGGAACTACTCACACACACGCGCGCGCACACACACACACACACACACACACACACGCAACGCAGGGAGGTAGCGGTACCCAAACAAAGAGCTCTAGGGTGGCGCGCTGGGCGCTTGCTTGGCGGCACGGCTCGGCCGGGTTGGGTTGAGCACAGCCGCCACGCCGCGCCACGCCGCGCCACGCCGCGCCACGCCGCGCCACGCCGCGCCACGCCGCGCCACGCCGCGCCACGCCGCGCCACGCCGCGCCACGCCGCGCCACGCCGCGCCACGCCGCGCCACGCCGCGCCACGCCGCGCCACGCCGCGCCACGCCGCGCCACCACCCCGCCACGCCGAGGGCCCGGTGGGCTCGGTGGGCCCGGTGGGCCGGAGGGTTGAAAAGGGGTGCGAGGGCAGAGGGGGGGAGGCCGGCTCCAGCCAATGGCAAGCGGGCCGCTGGCAAGCCGCCGCCCCCTCCCTCTCGCACCCCCGGCCCGACCGCCCCCGGCTCGGCTGCGCTCGGCTCGGCGCCGCTCGGCGACGACGTCGCCGTCCTCTGAAGTCCGTCCCGTCCGCTCCGCGCTCGCTCCGCTCGGCTCGGCTCGCTGCTGCCCGGGCCCGTCCGTCCCGAGCCTCCCCTCAGTTCAAGTCTAGTCAGCGCCGCAGCTCGTCCTCGAAGGGACGAAGAGGGTGCAGCCGAGCCAAGCCTGCGAAGCCGAACCCGGAGCCGAGGATTGCCGAGTGTGCTTGCCGGTGTTGTGTTCAGCGGGCTGCTCGCCTCGCCGGCCGCGTCGCGTTGTTTACGTCGCGCTGTGTGTGTGTGACCGGCTCGAGACTCCGTCGGGACGCAGAGCGACGAGAGGACTTGATTCTTACCTCTGGAATTGTGGTTCCCGGATCCTGAATGGGAGGGACAGGTCGCACGGATAAGCAGACCGCTCAGTCTGTTTGTGCGGGACAAAGCTTAGGTGAGTGTCCTCCACTGTACGGACTCTGTACAGACACTGTACAGACGCTCAGCGCCGCTTCCTTAAAACCAACCCGAATCCAGCTTGTGATCCCACCTTTGGACTCCTCGTTCAAAGAGCAATCCATTGGTGGGGTCATGAGTCCGATTCTAGTCTGATTCGCGGCACTGGAGCTCTAGAAGTGTCCTGTTCTGGCCGCGTCCCCTGTGCGTCGCCGCGCCGCCGGGGTGGAAGTCCAGCCAGCCGGCGGCAAGCCACGCCGTGCGGCGCGCAGCCACCCCGACATTCTACAGTCCGCGCGACAAAAGCTGATTAATTAGAGTTCCTAAACGTCCTTTCCTTTGTGGCTGCCGTTTCGCACGCCGAACCATTAGAGGCACAAAGGACGCACGCGCAGCGGCGAAGCTTGCAAAGCCTGCAAAGCTTGCAAAGCCCGCAAAGCGTCTCTTTGTGGCGGAAAATACAGACAGCACCACACGGTGTGGTGTCTCGCGAACCTCAAGTCTGGCCGTCGACGAACCCCGAACCCGTCGCGTTCCCCCAGGGGGGGTTTTCCAGGACTCGGCGCAAGATGTTCCTTTGTCCTTGCCCGTCGTGGCGCGGTGGTGCGCCGGGGACGCCGTATGTGCTGGCAACAAGCTGTGCACCGTCAAATTGGCCAACGCGCCACTCTGTGTGTGTGTGTGTGTGTGCGCGTGCGTGTGAATGTATGTGTGTGTGTGTGTGTGTGTGTGTGTGTTTATTTTTTGGCCATTCGAGGTGTTGGGAGGGCTCCAGCCAGGTTCGCTATGTTGTCTTCGGTGGACAGCCGGGAGGTACCATACTGCTCGTCGCCAGTCGCGGTTTTCTCGTCCGGGTTTGCCGGCTTTTCCGGCGTCGGCACGCGCGCGGGAAATGCGCAAGAAATGCGCGGCAAATTCAAACGTGGGTGTGGCTGGCCCGAACAAAGGGCGTTAGGGCAGGCGTCCTGTTGCAGCGGCTCGCCACGGCGCGGCCCCTCCACCGGCTTGGCCGGCGCGGCTCGCCACGGCCGGGAAGGAAGCCTCGGCTGTGCAGGGCCCTGTGGCCCTGTGGGCCGCCAAGCCAAGGGCCCCGCCGAGGGCCCCACCAAGGGCTCCAAGGGCCCTGCGGCCGGCAAAGTGCAGAGCAAAACGAGCTGCTGGACCACCGGCGTGACGTCATCGGCGTCCTCGCTCGCTGGAGCCCGGCTGGAGTCTGCTGGAGTCTGCTGGGGCCTGATGGCTGGAGTCTGATGGCTGGAGTCTGATGGCTGGAGTCTGATGGCTGGAGTCTGATGGCTGGAGGCTGGAGTCTGATGACTGGAGTCCGGCTGGAATCTGGCTGGAATCTGGCGTGAATCTGCCTGGAGCCCGGCTGGAGTCTGCTGGAGGAGTCTGGCTAAAGTCTGGCTGGAGAAGTCTGGCTGGAGTCTTGCTGAAGTCTAGCTGGAGTCTGGCTGGAGTCTAGCTGGACCATTTGAAACCCTTTCCTTGAAGTTTCGTGGTCTTTTTCAGTCCTTTTTTTTTTTTTTTTGGAAATTGGCGTTCATTTCCCTGCTTGCTTGCTGCAACCCGCCCGTCGGTTCGTCAGTCGGGCCGAAATGCGGATCGAATTCCTCCGCTACATTCGGCTGCATTGTGCGCCGCATGAAACAAAAGCCGAAAGCACAAAGGCCTTCCGAAGGGCTTTCGAGGGCTTTCGGATTGCGAACGACGGAAAACGGGATTCGAGTGGCGCTCTCTGCCTTTGCTTATCAGGGCCCTGATGATGGCTGATGGCCGCAGAATGAGGTAAATGAGCTTTTGTTGGCCGGGCCTGTGGGCCGCCGGCCAGACAGAGCGACAGAGGGACCCTTTAATTTCTTTCCCCCATTTCCCCCATTTCCCGCGTCCCTCTGTCTGTCTGTCTGTCTGTCTGTCTCTCTGTCTGCCTGTCTGCCTGTCCGTCTGTCAGTGTCTGTCTATCTGTCGTTCTGTCTGTCTGTCTGTCTGTCTGTCTGCCCGTCTGTCCATCTCACTACTTATTTCACGTCAGATACGACACGGACGGAACGCACGCTGGGGTGCTGTTGGCCGTGTGTATGTGTGTGTGTGCGTGCGTGCTTTTCAGCGAGGGTAGGCTCATCCATTCGTGATGCTCCACTATCCGTTTGGCCGTAACCTGGCCGCGGACTGCGCACCCTGGCATGGCGGCACGGAGGCCGAGAGGTATTTGCACGGGAAGTGTTGTCGAAGTTGCGCGGCTTCGGTGTCGTTGCCGAGCGAAACGGAGTTGGCCTGGCGAGTCCTGGCGAGGCGATCTGGCGGGACCTTTGGCGGGCCCTCTATTTGCAAGGCGGTGAACCGGCAGCCTCGTCAAACAGGATCGCGGCAGCCCTTCCGGGAACCTCCGGGGATCGAACCACCGCACCGCGGGGGCGGCCCGGGCAGCGCGCGGCAGCGCGTCTGGAAGTGGCCTTCGGAGAGGGCCCCGGAGCAGGACCTGAAAACGGACCTGGAGGCGGCCAAAATCCCGGACGCGTGTTGAGCTCCAGAGTCGCTAAATGGGGCTCGAACAAAACGTGTGGCCCCACCAATGGATTGCTCTCCGAACGAGGAATCCATTGGTGGGGTCACACGCTCGGTTCGAGTCCTGTTTAGCGACTCGGGCTCAAAACGTGTCTAGAGTTCCGGCCGCCTCCACCGGTCTTCTGGCGGAAAATGGAGGCAGTGTTTCGGCGTTTGCTAAACGGCTCGTGCACGTACGCGTGGAGCGCCCCGAGCTGCGTCCCTCCTCAGTACCGATGTAATATTCGACACTCAATTAGAGCGCGGGCCAAAATAGGAACTCCATTTAAGTTAGTCCCTCTCGACCTTGCTTGCGACCCTTCGCGTCTCTCTCCCTCCGCTTCGCACCCTCTTTATCTCCCTCTCTCTCTCCCCCTCTGCTTCGCGCCGCCCTCCCAGAAACAAGTGCAGGCGGTGCGTTCGCCCTCCCCTTCTCGAACTTTCGCTCCAAGATTCCCTCCCCTAGGGCGCACAGTGGGCCAGAAGACCGGCGCAGGCGGCCAAAATCCCGGACGCGTTTTGAGCTCCAGACTCGCTGAACGGGACTCGAACTGAACGTGTGACCCCACCGATGGATTCCTCGTTCGGAGAGCAATCCATTGGTGGGGTCACTCGTTCGGCTCGAGTCCCGTTTAGCGACTCTGGAGCTCAAAACGCGTCTAGAGTTTTGGCCGCTTCCACCGGTCTTCTGGCCCACTGTGGCCTCCGCGTCCCAGGCCCTTCACGCACCTCGCCCTTCGGCCGACGAGGGTGTTGCTTCGTCCCCAATCAAGTTTCGCGTCGCCCTTTGAAAATGGCGCCTTTTCGGCCGTCCACAATGGTGCGGTGGTGCTGTGAGCGGGGCGGGGTGGGGCGGGGCGGGGCGGGGTGGGGCGGGGCGGGGCGGAGGGGCAGCCCGTTGGCCCTGGCCCCGCTGCGCGGTAACTGGTCCAGGCCGTCCGAGCGGCCCGGCCGGTGGCCCCCTGTGGGGTCACCTAGAAATTATGTAACACCGACGGGGCCCTCCTGCATCTTGTCTGCAGCCGGCGCCGGCACGCTTAGTATATACTGGCAAAAAGAAAATTCTTCTGACTTTGTCGACAAGTTTTAGAAGCTGATGCCTCCAGATCAGCTCGCAAAAGTTAATTTTGCCTTGCAGGTTTTGTTTTTCCAGCGGAGACTCTGTCTGCGCAAGTTAGGTTCTCCTTTGTCTTTCCTTGCACGGCCGCCCGGAGCTAGGCTGGCTGCAGTGAGAGAGAGAGAGAGAGACAAAGAGAGAGACAGAGAGAGAGAGAGAGAGAGAGAGAGAGAGAGACAGAGAGAGAGAGACAGAGAGAGACAGAGAGAGAATAAACTGGAGCAGTTGAGTTGAGCGTCCAGGCTGCTGGAGGGAAGTCCAAACGCTCCAGCCGCTGAAAACGTTGTTTTTCAATTATTTCTGCACAAAGTGCTCCAAAATAATTCTCGGCTATTTTTCTTTTCCCCCGCTGCTTCGACGTGTCTGCCAGTTTCTAAAAATGAAACTAAACCGCACTGTGTTCTCGTCGGCTTTGCCGGCTGGTTGGCTTGGCAGTGCAGTGGCTGCAATGCTGGTTATCAACTCAACAGGCTGTACGAGGCCCCCGAGCCCCCCACAGTGTGCCCACACCCCGCCGCCACGCCACTGGGCGAAAAAAAATCCGAAATAACGGCAGTGGCGTGACCGGGTTCGAACACCCGTGCAAGCAACTCTGTTTTTTTTTTTTTTTTTTTTTGTTTTTTCTTGCGACACTCCGATCAATCATGCAGTGACTGCGAACAAGTAGCGCGATCAATACTCACTCGATTATCGACTGAGTGAGAGTGTCTCGTGTGTGTTGCGTGTGTGTGTGCGTGCGTGTGTGGATACACTATGAAGCGTTCGGTGGCGCCCCCGCCGCGTTTTGGGTGTGTATCAATAACGACATGGAGGGGCCGCGGTGGAGTGGGGAATGTTGGCCATTGACACGAGGTGGGGCCCCGCCCCGCCCCGCCCCGGCCGTCTCAAGCGGCTAGGCGCGCGGTGCGGCGCGGTGCGGCCAGAGAGCTATCCACCAAGGTCGTTTCGCGATACAGCTCTACAAATTCTTGTGCGCGGTCGTACGCCCGGCCCGACCGGTGTCCGTGCGGAGCGTGCGGAGGGCGTAGGCGTTAGCGGTCGATTTTTGGGCTTGTCGCTAAGGGCGCGACCCTTTACGGCTCTGGGCCGCGCAGCCACGGCCCTGCGGGCATGGCCCTTGCCCAGCCCGTGCCGCGTCGCCCACACTCGTAAAAGGCGTCCCTCTCGGCAGCGGTGAGTCGCGCGTGAGGCATCCGCAGTGCGCGGCTAGCGCGGCTAGCGCGGCAAAAGTGAACGGCCGGCGGCGGGACGCGAACCCGGCACTCGGCGCCGTGAGCGGCCTTGTAAGGCCTTGCCGGCTTCCTCCTCGTGAGCCAGCCACCGCCAACGGTCGGCCG